CCCCCCGACCTGCGACAGTGGTGTCAAGGCCTCCGGTGTTGGAGGCTGAACCTGCAAGGCTTGATGAGATGAGCCCTAGAAACTTGCCCCAAAATTATTGGCTGGAACCAAACCAGCGTTTGAATGCCGCAAAGTCATACAAGTTCGACTCTGAAAGTCAATGTGATCAGTCCAGTTCTACGATGCGCCTGCATCAATGGACCCAAGAAGGCACGAGGCGCAAGCAGCAGCACAGCCTGAGAGCAGAACCTACAAAGAAACCTCGTGCAGCCCTAAGAAGCCAGCAACGGATTTCCAAGGAGGAAACTTAAAGTACACTTTCAGAGTACATCAATGTTCAGAGATATTGAAACAATATGAAACAGTGCAAAGTTGAATTGTCGGCGTTTGTGGCAATTGCCTGTTGTCTGTTTCTTGCTTTGCAGTCGTCCAAGCACTCGCACTGCGAAGGCCAGAAGCCCCAAAGCCAAAGGGGAACGTCGTGGCCTTGGACAGGAAGTGCTTTCCACATTGTGGGAGGAGAGCATTTCTTATCATTGGATCGCCAGTTCTGTCAAAAGCTCCTTTGTGTCGGACGCCATGGTTCCCAGTTTGGAAGGCAAAGAGGCAAAAATAGGGCAGGGCGCAGCTACAAGTGCCAAACGGCAGCGGCAACGAGCGAAAGGCAACTAACAATAGTATAGAGTCAACAAAGCTTCATTGCATTCCCTGTGTCCACTCATATTGTCTGGAATCCACACACGCACAGCGGCGTCTTTTTTGTGACAATCCTAGGTTGGTCATTCGAGCCGGGTGCCACCGTTCCTGGTCAGAAGAGAGGGACGGTCGTGACGAGTTGGGCATCCAGACATTGAGCAATCTCTTCACAGTTAAACCCATTGCTAGGTTGGAGGCCATCACTACTAGGTTCTCTTTGCTACCGCTCCAAGCAGCACAAGAAGCTACCACTATGACTGTCCTCAGAATCCGTTGCGGCCCCAAACCACCAAAGCGATGGACATGGAGAACATCGAGAGCAACACCACCTCGGTCACTCATCCTCAATTCTTGAAACACCATTTAATTTAAATTAGATCTATATTAAAGTAATAGCTTCTTGTTACTACTAGCGTGGCACTTGTTAAACCCATGTATTTGATGCCAATCCTGATATCAAACGGTCGTTTTCTGGGGAGCCTTGTCTCGCTGCAAATAGACTATGTTCGAGAGGGCCAAGTCAACCGTGGTCAAGTCCATGAAACAAATATGTCCATCCACTTCGAGGCCGTATCGTAGTCAACACGATTCAAACATGCCAATTTGGCTTGCATTATCCCCAAGCATTCGACTTCTTTTGGGCCCCATTCTGGTACCATTCAGGCTTGAACGAAGGTGATGTTTGGGTTCTCGAGGGGCGACAGGTCTGCGAGTGCCACACTGCTGGCAATCTCTGACACCTGCACAAAGCCATCACCAGCCGGTCTTTTTTGTTCTCATGCCAGGCATTTCCTTGCAAGAGAACTGCAACTGCACAGAAATGCATCGGCGCTTGGCATTGTCTCATACTCTTCGTTGTTGCGCTGCCCGCAAAATAAGAGAATTTTGAAAAGGGTCACCATCATACACCGTATGGGAAATGTGGTTGTGAATAGCTTCATTTGATCTAAATAGCCATGGCCATTGTTGTCAAATTTATTTCTTGTCTAGTCTTCATTTGTTGAACAGAATGCTGGTTGCAATATAGAAGCTGTTGACGCATCTCAGGCCTCAGCAGGCATCTGGGCCTGGGAGATCTCGGCGGCCTGGGACTAAGCGTCACACCCGGAAATGCCTAGAAGCATGAGAAACCCGTTACAACAAAATTAACAAAGCCATGCAAACTGAACACACCAAGAGGTGTGGATGAGCGCTCTCCGCGCAGGGGTGCACTATCCCTATACCGATTACTTGACTACACAGCATCACTTGCATCAAAAACGTTAAAAAAGACATGACAAGATAGTAGTGCCTCCTGTGCGTGCGCAAGAGGGGCGCCGATGGGTTCCAGGAAGGCCGGCAAGGCCACCAGGGCCTCAACAGATTGCATCGTGCTGCAAATGGCATTCACTGCAAGTTTGCAAGCTTTGAGAAGATGTGGGAAACGATTTTCTCGTGTCTTTCTTCCATAGATTAGCTCTCAGAGATTTGTTGGTCACGCAGGTGTGACTTGCTCCACCCCGTCTCATTGATGAGAATCTCTTTTTCCACCGTGGAAGGTGTGTCGCACTGCACAGTGGCACAGGCACACGAAGCAGCCAACTTCACAAGAACTATACCAATCAACACAGAAAACAAAAACAAACTGTGAATCAGACTTCACATGTAGCTGACAATGACAAACTACCTAGGGTATATCGAAAAGGAGAAGCAAACAAACCAAATTTGCATGTCATTGAAGATGGTTTGAAAAGCAACAGCAACGGGAATTCTTGACACAAGAAAAATCAAGCAGTTCTGCTCGTCCTCCCTGCACTAGGCACCTTTTTCCTTGAGGCGGTCGCCCATGTCCTGTCCTACAGCGCCATCGCTGAAAAGACGTAGAGACGTGGCTCTGACCAAGTGGCAGGTAATTGCTGCCAAAGCGGAAGTTTGGCCAAGAAGACATCCGACTCTTGTACTTCGCCTTCCACCTCATGATGGCTCTGTTCACTGTTTCATATGCAGCAAAATCTTGGGTTCATGTCTGGACTAGCGTGAGACACTACGCGGTTTCTTGCGTTCAATGATACAGTGTGATGCTGATAGACTTTCCATGCTCAATTGTGCTTTTGAGGATGCCTATTTCAAAACGGGGGCATGTCCTCAAACTCTATCCTAGCCAGGTCCTTGCTGAGCTGCGTCACAAGCAAGTCTTGCAGGCGCACGTGTTGCTGCGAGGACAGCTTCAGCAGGTCTTTCGCCCTGCTGCGAAGCTCTTCCCACTCCTCTTCCACAGGTACGTATGTGTGTGTGTGTGTACACCTTGGAGTCACAGGTAACCTGTTGGTTTTTGATGTTCACAAGCAGGGGGACAATCCATGTACTGCGCGCGAAGGTCCACTGCGGATATCATGGCTGATCACTGTGACGTACCTGCTTCAGTGATGACTTCTACTTGCTACTGACCAATAAATGCCTGAGCATTGCTCCAAACACTCTGTTTGCCCTCCCAGCCTTGACTGCTGCAACCGGGGCCGCCGAGAGGCCCTCTTTGGCAAAATGGCTTTGGGCTGTTGCAAGGAAACCCTTAAGGTGTGCCTTGGCGTTTGAAAATCGAGCATCGCCTTTCCAAGTCTTGAAGCGGACAAGACACCCTCGTTGTATTGGATGCATTTGGATCCTAAATCTTTGAGGCGATGATTGAATCTAAGGAAAAAACACGGACTGCAACCAACTCCCTCGATTTCCCCTTCTTTACAAGCTGGCACCCACTCAATGCAAGCAAGCGTCCTTGGTTGCATTCGCTGGCATCGAGTGGTAGAGGATCAAGAGAGCCTTTAGCCGGTGTTGTATGCTTACCTGAGTCCTGACCTGAAACCTTTTCACGAACAACATTGAAAAATGACGTCACATAGCAAATAGTCTTTCATCTTCCACTCTGTACTCTCAGCATAGTTCTTTGGGCCTGGGCATAGTCTTTGGCGTTGATCCAAGTCAATTTACCCCTCTTCAGTTTTAGCATCTCTTCGGTCTTTGCCATTGCAGCCTGGCACGTTTGGTGCAATCCCTCCAAGTTGATACCGGCTCATCAGTGGAGGCCGCCCCCGAAGGGTGTCCTAATTTTTGTGTGGCAGGGGGGGGCGCCCACACGACCTCTACCCCTTTTCAAAGTCATTGTTGGCATGTTTTCTCTTTTCAGTGTTGAATTCAATGAATGGTTTTAAGATGTGTGCTTGTTTGAAACTTATTGCTCTATGGACCTTTTTAAGACGTAATCCGTGTTGCAAATAGAATTTCAAAGCTGATATGTGTAATACATACTTCTTCTTATCCATTACATTTAACACTAACTTATTTGTTTTTTCATCACTGGCATCTTTTCCATAATATTATTTATGTATATCCTTCTGGACTCAGGTGCTAATGGATAGTCTTCATGTAAATCATGTAGTTCTTTTGGATAATCTAAATCAACTTCTAATATGTATCCTACGTCATCATCATCACTATATTTCATTACTCTCTTTTCATCCATTCTACCGTAATACCATTCAAAATCACCATATGGCAGTTTCTTACACATTGCTAATCCGTAAAGGTTACTAGCATCTAAATAACTTATGTATGATGAAGGTTTAGACTTATCATAATATTCATTCATGTATTTATTGTTTGCTTCTACTTTCTTAAAGGAGCACTGTGTCATTCCTCCTCTTAATTAATACATGTTCAATCATCTCATACATTTATTTTATGTGTATTTGTTGTAGTCTAACTCCTGTCAATGATAAAAAGGCATTCCAAGAATAGTTAGGTAAAGTAATATAATATGCTGGGTCTAATCCATAATAGTTCAAACACATATCTCTAAAATTTTCAAAAACATCAGTCAGTAAATATACATCAGTCATCAAATACAAATCATGATATTCACCAAGGTGTTTAATGTCAACATGTGTCCATACAACATGCTCTGGTGTATGTAGTCTTTGTCAGTTATGCTTTCGTCATATAATTTGCGGTCAAAATATTCTTTCTTTGGTAGTTTTGTTTCATAAAATCTATCCCATGAGTTCATATAGTCGTATGGATATACACCCTTATCAGTCAGCAAATTCAAGTCAGTTTTAGATTGATATATGGGTTGGTGCTTGTATATCTGAAACGAGTTTCCCAATCTGTAATCTTTTGATTTCCTTCATATTTGCTTAATCTAACTAACTTATCCAATGACGCAGTTAAGAAAGCGAAGCTGTCTTTAAACTGACAAGCACCAAATGAAAAGGTTATGAACGTTTCACTGTTTTGTGCTATTACATCTATTAATTTGTTTTGGTTTAGTTCTATGTTTAGTTCATTTGCTCTGGCAATGATCAAGTGTGCGTCATAGTTTTTAAGATTATAGATAGGGATTTTAAAACATCTAAATGAATAATCCAGATTGCATGTTACATGCGCTGCGCCTCTGTATTTACCTGTGAAGTGGCAGTGGTCGCAGACTTTCTCATCATCAGTTGGAATTCCTTATTACATATGGAGCAGTGGGTCGCTTGTCTAAATTCTGTCTTTTGTTCGTAAGTTAATTCATCCATTGGTTTATTTACATTTTTTCAAATATACTTTCTTAATTTCAGTCAGTTGTTCAACAAAATGCTTCATACAATCCTCACCTCTGTATAAGTATGGTTGGCATGTATTGTCAATCCTGCTTACTACATTCAACATATAACCGCACGGTTTATGTTCCTGATTTGTGCCTTTTATACCATTGTTAGAGTTAGTGGTTAGACATTCAAATTCACCATAGATTACAAAAGGACAAGGCAATTTCGTATTTTGCTTTTCAAATTCTATGTAAGTGTCTTTATCAGTCATCTTTGTTTGTTGTCCTTCTGATGCCATACATCCCTTTTCAAGATGGTTCTTATACGCCTTTTCTGATGAGAAAGGATTTAAGCAATGATGGCAGTAGTGTCTCTTGTTGATATTTTTCTTGCTTTGGCAGTTAAGTAATCTACTTTTGTTTTTCACTAATACATAGTGATAGTTATTGTCTTCATCATAGACTTTTAATAAATCAATTTCATATTTAGCATTTCTATTTTTAGTGCATCTATGTATGATAATCTTATTATCATTAAGGCAGTCATCAGTTTCAAAAACATTTATTGAAACTAATTTTTTGTTTTCGTCAAATCGGTCTATGTCCCTATTACCAGTTGGAAATTGTACACCATCCCAGTTCAAAAAATCATCGTTCAATTTGTTATAGTGGAACATTTCCTCTGGGTGATGTTTGCTTATTTTGTCAAAGACTATGGATTGAATACAGTATTTGAAGCATGTTTGGTCTTTGTTTTAATGTTGATACATGCCATGTTTAACTTAATCCATTCTGGTAATTCTATAAAACTGCCTGCTCTTGTTGGGTCAAATTTGTCATAGTGAATGGTGACTGATATCATCCTTTTAGACCTTAAATTCGAGGTTGATGCTTCAAGATTTTGTATTTGTCGTAAGATTTGTTTAACACTATCTTCTAATGTTTGTGTCAGTTCATCCTCATTATGAATTGGATACTATGTTGATGGTAAAGCATATACAAGTTCTTGACTAACAATTTAATTTCCTCCATCATCATATTCAGGTTTTTCAATTAACCCTTCTGTTCTTATGTTAAGTTTCATGCTTCTATTACTGCTTAAAAACTCTAATAGTATTTGTTTTTGGTGTGCAATCATTTCTAAACATCTTTCTCCTTCAATGTGTCTATTTTCTAAAGCTATAGAATTAGCATATGCTCTAAATGCTGATTGAACAGCCCTGACCCTAAAATTGTTTCTGATTGCGTGTTTGGTCAGTATTTGTCTTACTCTTCCGTCATTGAAAGCACCCTTTGCCTTGTTTAAAGCATAACTTCTGTATTCATTAGTTTCTTTACTGATAATATGTTATGTGTCAAACCATTTGATATGGGTTTGTCTTTGTTGTATCTGAACTTCTTTTCATCTACGATTATGGACTTTAATTCTGTTCTTCCTCTTTTTGGTATGTCTGCTAAACCATTACTCAACAGATAGTCTATAACGTTTTTCATCATAACATACAATATAGTTTAATACTTTCTTTACTTAATCTATCTTTAAATAGTTTTTAAAAGAATGTTTTGAGGTTGGTAGTGGCAACCCTCAAGCAAATCCCTCACGAAGTGAATCTGCTCAAAACGGATCTCTCTCCAAAGCTGCAGGTGCGTCCTTTTCACACCATCGTGGCCATAGCTCGA